TCCCTCCCTCCCCGCCACTTGCTGTCTCTTTCTGATAGAGACAGCAAGGTGGGGGGTAGCGACTAGTCGACTATCCCATAAGCATTTGCTTATTGATAATCAATTAGTCATTCACATCCCTTATGCTCCAGGGTCCCCAGCTCATGACAAAAGAACATGCTGGCAGAGAGGAACTAGCTACAAACTTAATCAAGGACTTCCTAAAAAAAGACCAGTGAGGTGGGTCAAAGATACGCCCACTCCAATTCCAGGGTTACCCTTCATGACGAAGTGCCTTCCAAGAGGTAAATCAGCAGTACCAAAATAAGGCTGGCGAGGAAGGGGAAAAAGAAAACATATCACATACCCACAATCTATCCAGGCTATAGTGCCTCGTCCTTTCACCGCTTGGGCCACATCGGACAGTAACCTGAGTGGACTTTCAGCAGCGGTAGCTGAAAACAACAGTAATAACAGTGTTAATCCAATCAGCACATACAGCAATGCCAATCTTTTGCTATGAAGCATTGGGAGAACATACTTCCTAGGATCCCATTTCTAAGAGGAATCAGTAAAGTTTGTGTATTTTGAAAAGAATGCTCATCCCCTGAACATTTATACCTGCAGCGTGCACCACTGCCTAGCGTTCCTGGGGGTACGTCATGCATTCTCCTACAGACTTCCATATTCGGACCTACCTCCTTCTCCCTACAGCTGTGCACTCAGTGGTTTGCCTTGGAAGGATGGTCCAGTGGTTAGGACACTAGTAAAGGATCTGGGAGACAGATTCAACCCCTTGCTCCATCAGAGATTTTCTGTGTGACCTTTGGCAAGTCACTTGTCACTGTGTGCCTCAGTTCTCCATCTGTACAATGGAGATAATAGCACTTTGCTAACTCACAATTATACTGGGAGAACTGATACATTAAGAGATGCTCAAAATACCGCCAAAGCACTACTGTAAGTATAGAGTGTTATTAACAATAATCAGAAAAGAAAGTTAAGGGGGGAGGTCTAAGAAGCACTTTTAAGCCGTCTCCCCGCAAGCACTGACTCCCTGCTGCCTCTGACAGAGGCAGCAGTGCAGAGCAAGGCAGCGGCTCTTCGGGAGCCGAAATGCATGGAGAGCCAGCTCTGATACAGAGGCAGCAAGGGTGGTGGAAGGTTGCAAGTAGTCGTTAAGATTAACCAATAAGCCCAGGCTTATCAGTAAATCACGTAAACGACTACACACTAACATCCCTGTTCTGCTTACCAAATGGATTTAAAAAGAACATTTTTGTTCTATCTACCATGTTTATGAAGCACCTGGAACCTTGTTATCTAAGTAAGAGGAATGACTGTCTCCATATACCAGCTCTATGTCTCTGCAGCATGAGTCCAATGAAGCTACACTGTAGGGGACGTCTCTCACCAGAATTAGAACTAAGGAAACTATCCTAGGGTACGTCTAGACTACAGGCTTTTGTCGACAGAAGCTTTGTCGACAGTATCTGTCGACAAAGCTTCTGTCGACAAAGAGCGTCTAGACTACATTCAGTTCTGTCGACAAAGCAAGCTGCTTTGTCGACATGGCAGTGTAGACGCAAAGGACAGTTTAGATGTAATAATGCCTTCTGTCGACAGAACTCTGTCAACAAAAGGCGTTATTCCTCGCAAAATGAGGTTTACCAGCGTCGACAAAACTGCTGTGTTCTGTCGACGTTATGTCGACAGAACTCAGCGGTAGTGTAGACGCAGGTTTAGTTTTGTCGACAAAAGTCCACTTTTGTCGACAAAACTAAACCTGCGTCTACACTACCGCTGAGTTCTGTCGACGTTATGTCGACAGAACTCAGCGGTAGTGTAGACGCAGGTTTAGTTTTGTCGACAAAAGTCCACTTTTGTCGACAAAACTAAACCTGCGTCTACACTACCGCTGAGTTCTGTCGACGTTATGTCGACAGAACTCAGCGGTAGTGTAGACGCAGGTTTAGTTTTGTCGACAAAAGTCCACTTTTGTCGACAAAACTAAACCTGCGTCTACACTACCGCTGAGTTCTGTCGACGTTATGTCGACAGAACTCAGCGGTAGTGTAGACGCAGGTTTAGTTTTGTCGACAAAAGTCCACTTTTGTCGACAAAACCCTGTAGTCTAGACACACCCCTAGTGTCTAAAACTGACCTCACGTGACCGGCATTTGCTCCACACAGTTTGGAACACAACATGTCTAGACTTGGCCAAATTATATTTGTAATTTTTATATAATTTCAGCCGATAAATATCCATGCTTATTTTAAAGCATTTTTAAACTTTTAATGGATTTCCGTTTCTCAGTTGCATGAAATTATGGGGGGAGGAAAGGGAGCGAGTCAACATTACATGTCATAATATACAAAGTAAATATCCTTTAATCACATTCTAAAGTTATAAACCAGCACTTTTCTTCCTTTGCCTACCTGCAAATTGCAATTATTATTGATCATATATTTTTGCATTCCTTAACTGACATGTGCCGATACAGAACTAATCCTTTCAAGCCTAAATATACCCAATCTCCAAATCCAGTGTCAAAAAGGCATTTCCCTGGGAAATATTGGAAGAGACTAGTTAGGGGGTTCACTCCATGGATGGCAGCAACGGCTGTGGGCACTCTGTTAGCACGGAATAAGCAGATACTGGAAGTGGGATCATCCCCCATGATCAATGAATTTCCTGCATGCACAGGTTGAACCTCTCTAGTCCAGCAACCTCAGGACCTGACCAGCTCCAAACAAGAGAATTTTCTGGACCACAGAAGGTCAATATTGTCTAGCAGCATTACCAATACTTCCACTACATACTACACAGTTAGAAGACATTTAGGGATAAATTAGAGCTAAACAGCAGCACAGAACACCGAAAGCTAGGACTGGTTGCTCTAAACAAGCTTTATGGGATCATGGGAAGCTTGCCCACACCCATAAAAAGCAGACATCCGGCTAAATAAAATCATTCCGGATGATGGATGTTTCTGGACTAGAGAGGTTCAACCTGTACCAGGAATACTAGGTAGAACTTTCTTGAACCTCACATGATATTTTAACACTGATCAGCAGTATGACTGACAGTTAGCCAGAATCTCAGCACAGATGTGTGGTGCACATCTGGGATTAGAATCATGTCCAACCACTTTTTACAAGACAGCAGCTAAGCAAGAGATATTTTAACTGTGTATAAGGATCACCACTCTAGGAAACGTTAATCCCCCAGACAGCTACCAGTGCAATGCTTTACACTGTTAAATCCAACCAATTAAACTTAAAAAAAAAAAGATAGCGAGAACATGATTTTGAAGGATACCCATAGGGCGACATTTATTTGACACGTGTCTTTGCAAAGTGCTGCAGTTGTACTACTAAAAATGAAAGCAGCCACCACTAACAATGGCAAGCCTTAAAAAAAAAATCATCCCTTAAAAAAAGAGGCAACTGTATTGTTCAGCTTTTGAAAGGGTTCTTTTCAAACAGAAAGGTGTTAGACCCCTCGTTTATGATTTTCACAGTGTCTGTTCCACAAAAATTTTTGGTCAACTGTAAGCACTTTCCCATTATACCAAACATTAATATTTCTAGTCACATATTGTGCATGTGCCAATTTAACCATTTTATCATCCCCCCCCACCCTGGAAATCCCTACAAGCACCTGCACTTTAGCAAACAGGAGGATACTATCAAAAAAGGTTATTTTGGGAACAGAATACTGGGCCACCATATTAAGGATTCAAATTCTGCTCTCAGCTGAAGTAGTGTAAATGTGGACAAACTCCACTCAAGTCAGTAGGGTTACTCCAAATTTACACCAGTGTACCAGACCAGAATTCGAGTCCCTCTCACTAAATGCAGTTCAAAAGAGATTTAACATTAAAACAGCATTTCTTGATTGCTTGCTTGTCCTTACTGTACTTGGGGGAAGGCTGGAGGAGAAGCAGCAGCAGCATTAAGGAGACTTTTGATCTTCACCTCACAGTTAATCAGCAATTCTCACCTTTGCTGGCCGAAAGAATATAATATCCATGACAATAAGTATTTTCCATTTACCAAAGGATCAAACCACTGATTCTTTTACCTGACACCATAAATATACCCAGCACTTTATGACATACAGCGCCAGACAGTACACCTGTCCAAAATAACTTGTAATGAATGTCTCATAACACAGAAACACAGAGCAAGAGTTCAGTTTTGGATTGCACAGGGACGCCTCTGGTGAAAAGATCAGCAGAAGAGAATTCAGGGAAGAGGTTGATTTTAACTAAGGGGAATGGCAGAGACTCAGAAAATGCATACCAGGAAGCTGAAAAATGTTCCAAGGGCAGGGAACAGCACAAACAAGTCCCGAACAGGAAAGGGAAGTAAAGCAGTATAAGGAGCAAGAGGAAGTAAGAATAAAAAGGTAGATAAGAGCAAGATGAAAAATCCTTAAGGGGAGGATGGAGAGTTTGAGTAAGATGGGTGGAAGGCAGTGAAAAGATTTGACAGGGACAGGTAATATGGTGTAATACGATGGAGAAGTATTACAAGGGGCCTACTAGTCTGGTAATTAACACAAGTGGCAACCAGTACAGATGAATGGATTTCTGTATTCTAAACTTTCCTTCACTCAGTCTTACAATGTACCACTACCAAGTTGGTCTGTGTCTATTATGGTGACAGACACATTACTAAATACCCATGTCTAATAGATATTATAGTGACCATTTCTGCCAATGGCAAACAAAACCATACAGAAGTGAAATGTCTTTGCCAAGGTCATAGAGGAATAAGCAACAGAGTTGGGAACAGAAGTCAGGAGTCCTGATTCCCAGGCCTTTGCTCTACCTACTGACCTACAATAGTGCATTACTGCCATTACATATCAAGCACCAGAAACTTGCTCACCACTGTCCAGGAAAATATGACGACACTGGCCAAGATTTTTAAAAATGGAGGGGTTAAACATGAGAGTCCACATTTAAGCACCTAAATAAGTGCCCAGGTTCTGACAATCGAGTTCATCGGGTACAAAGAACAAGAGTCAAAAGCAAGAACTCACCAGATTTGGAATAGAGCGCCAATATGTTATTCCGTGTCCTGAGAAGCTTCTTGAAATCCTTGTGATCGCTAATTTTTTCTATGAGGGGAGACATCTTCACCGAAAATAGACATGCTGGCAGGATTACCTAAGGATGCAGGAAGTTAGAAATGTAAATGAAAACTTCCCTGCTTGCATGAAAAACAAATGCAGACATGCACTTCTAAAACAAACCACTTTTTTTTTTGGCATTTCAAACTGTTCTAACCTCAGATAAATTAGTTCTTTAAGCAAAGTTGAACAACAATTTGATACACAAAAAAGCAACAAAAACCCCAGTCAATCAAAACTGGAACTACATCATGTTAAGCATTGCCACTAAAACTTTAAGCTGCTAAGAAGTGGATTAATACTTCCTAACACCATCAACAGTTACTTAGGAGGTGTGCAACATGCCCATTAAAATCTGTTCTCAATCAGGCAACCTAATTCTTATTGTATTTATTTACTGTAATAAAAAAAAGTAATAGCATTTATGAAGCATTCCAGTCCATAAATCCCCAAATGCTTTTCAAGAGAAGACAAATAGTGTCTCATTTCTACAAGTAAAGAAAGTGAAAGGAAGAGACTTGCCAAGGTGACAGAACCAGTGATGCAACCAAGAGTAGAACCCATGGGTGGAATTGTGTCCCTACAGTAGACAATGGCAAAAGCCTCATTGACTTCAAGAGGATCAAGATTTCACCCTACGTCTCCAGTCTCCCAACCCTGTATTTTAGAGAGGAATGTTGGTCTTGTGGTTCAAGCACTGATCTGAGGATCAGGAGATTTCCTCAAGCACTTCCTCTGTGGTTTCCATGGGCTAGTCGCTTCAGGTCACTGCCTCTCGGGGTATAGCTGCAGTGCAATTAAAAACCCACAGCTGGCACCTGCCAGCTAACTTAGGCTCATGCAGCTTGGGTGAAGGGCCTGTTCAAAAGTGGTGTAGACATGCGGGCTCAGTCTGGAGTCTGGCCTCTAGGATTCTGAAAGGAGGCAGAGTCCCAGAACTTGGGTTGCTGCCAGAGTTCAAAAGTCTACCCTGACATTAAGGAACCCCTTGACCCAAGGCCCAAGAGAGCCTGAGTTAGTTGGCAGTTGTAATTGCGCAAAAGAGAGACCCTCAGTCACTTTCCCTAGTAACACAACGGAGATAATATTTCTGTCACACCTCTTGTCTTGTTAGCAATTTGGGCAGAGGTATTTTAAAGTTGCTTGCGGATCCCACCATCTGCACTCAAAGTGCCAGAATGGGGAACAGCTTTGACAACAGGATACTGAACTAGATCGACCTTTGGTCTGACCCAGTATGGCCATTCTTAAGTTTTTAATACATGCTCTAGTTAGTAGGGGAACAGATAGCTGCACTGTTTTAATATGGGTAACACAATGAAATTCAGCTGTATGCAACTCTACTGATGCCAATGAATGTAGCACATGGACTGAAAAAGGTCGGTCTTTACATAAGCATGTAATTATTTTTCTTTTCTTTTTAATGGGGAGGGGATGATTGAAGTTCTCACAATTTTATACTAGATCTAGCAAGAGGTTTTTTAAAAATCTGTTCTGGTTTAGGGATTGCTAAATCTGAACATTAGTGCCACAATAACATCTAGCATTCAGGAAAGAGAGGCTGAAACGACGCACTTTTAATTTGTTTAGGAAACCAAAAATCAATTAGACTACACTATAGAATCATTGCCTGAGAAAATCTGAGTTTAAAACTCGAAGACATTTACAAAATGTCAACAACACCAGATTGTGTCATAAACTGGTAAACTTTATTTAAAAGCACTTGTATAGACTTAGTGATAGTTTGGAAGCATTCTCATTATGTCTTTTCCAGACAGAGAAGCTGCGTAGTCAGTAAATTTTTATGGCACCGTTATAAACCCAATGAAAAAACGGATTCAGGAAACAACCACTATATAGCCATGTACGTATTGCCACTAACATTGAACTTGTTGCATGTGTGTGTGTAAGTAACTATAGCCTCCTTAAAAAGGAAGCCCACAGCACTGCATATCTCCGTTGGTACCGAGACAGTTTGCTCTGCAGCTATCAACGTGTAATACTCATTCGTTCATTTACCACACCAATCATTGCGATACCCACGTGCCTGTGCACTATAGATCATAAAACAACTGAGGCAGGTGCCAGGTACTGCAACACAGCAAGTACATAGGGTTGCCACACGGATGAACCAAAAATACTGAACACTCCCCCTCCCTCCCCCGTCAGAAAAAAAACATAGGGAAAAAATTCTGTTGAGAAAAAGAAAGACTTGGACTTATTGAGCGAAATAAATAAATAAACAAACAGCATGGCCCCTTTCAGAGTGAGTACAGAGTCAGAATAAGGATAGGAACAGGGGAGAGGTTGAGCACTAAGACCCAGGGAAGGCATGGTTTCCCCTTGGTCTTTAGGCTTTTTGCCAGCAGCCATTTTGTGTTCTTGAGTTATGATGATTAATATTTTAGTAATTAGATGCTGCTATATATCCCGAAAAAATGTTAAACTGTTACTCTATGGATTGTAGTGCTAAATTCCAAAAGAGATCAACAAACGAGTTCAACCTAGCTGATTATCTCCAAGGAGTTGGAAGATTATATAGCATATATTACTATACCTACAAGGACACATAGGAAAACAAACTGATTTTTAAATCTGAAGTATGCTTTTTATTATAATTAAATCATTCTGCTATTTTTCATCTCAGTCTTTCCAGTACCTGCCAAGCGACAAATAGATTTTTGGAAATTCTTGTGGAGCCTGCTAAATCCATAGTGAAGGTGGATGTGTACTTGAGGCTGCATCTGAGTTTAGTCCCCCTGAGGATTTGCTTTATGCCTAGGGTTGCCAGATGTCTGGTATTGATAAAGTTGCCAGATGGTTTAACCAAAAATACTGAACACTCCCCCTCCCTCCCCCGTCAGAAAAAAAACATAGGGAAAAAATTCTGTTGAGAAAAAGAAAAGGGGGAGACCAAAGTTGTTGAGGGAAAAAAAAAAGCACTGCAGCTTTAAATGACCCCGCACTCCTCACTACTTCACCCTTGCCAGATGTGGCAAGGGAAAATTGTCCCTGCCAGACTTCTGTCCAAGGTAAACAGGAAATACCGGACATTTTAAATATCCAGTATTTTCTGTTTTTTTTAACCGGATGGAGGGTGTGAATACCGGGCACCTGGCAACCCTACGAGGGCTTTGGGGGGCCACTGTGGTCTGGGGTTGCCAGATGGTTTAACCAAAAATACCAAACACTCCCCCTTAGCCCCCCCCAAAAAACGGGGAGAAAATTTGTTGAAAAAAAAGGGGGGAGGACCACACTAATCGCTCCCCTGTGACATTCTATATCTTGGAGGAGTACCCGTAGCCCTCATATTCCTCATGTTTATGTCACTGTAATTTTACATATAAAGCATGGCTTATAAGGAATCAGGGGAAATGTTACGATTTGCTGAAAGTCCCTTATCTGTATATGAATATCATCAATGAATATGAAGGTACGAGGTTGTGTTGTGTGGCTATCACCAAAACATGCTATAATTGGGGAATCAGCCAGATATTACCTCCCAAGAGACAAGATCAAGCAGAGTATCCAACCCCCTGGTGGGGTGTCAAGTAGCTATCAACAGCCATTGTTCAGCCAGGGAGCTACAATGCAATGACTTGCCTACATGAGGCCCAAGCAGGGGATGTGTACTTGAGGCTGCATCTGAGTTTAGTCCCCCTGAGGATTTGCTTTATGCCTAGGGTTGCCAGATGTCTGGTATTGCTACATGAGGCCCAAGCAGGGGAATTGCTCAACTTCACCTGGAAACTCATCAATGCCACGGCTGGATTAAGCTCTTTGTAGGCCCTCGGCCAAGGGTGGGCAAAAGGGCCTCTGCGGGCTGGATCCAGCCTGCCAAAAGGGTTGATCCAGCCAGCGGAGGCTCCCCCATCCCCAGGCCAGTTAGCGTTTGGGGGTGGGGGAAGTGCAGGAAGATTGCTCCCCCCCTGCCAGGAGCATGCGGCACTTTGAAGTGCCGTGCGCTCCTGGAAGGATGGGAGGAGGCTTTGTGTGCTCCCTTGCCCTCAGGTCCTGATTGGCCTGGGAGAGAGGGAGCACAGGAAGTCTCTTCCCACCGCCAGGGGCATGGGTGCTTAGTAGGAAGAGGGGGTAAAGGGGCTCCCTCACCCCCAGAACAATTACATGGTCTGTGGATGAGGAAGCCCGAAGCATCCTGGCTCGCCCCTTCCTTTTGAGGCAGTGCAGCCCGGGGCTACTTCAAACAATTATTGCCCACCCCTGCCCTAGGCACTCTCATAAGGGAGACATGCCCTATCACCTATACACCTAATATCACCCCACTTCAATTTTTGCTCCTGAGAGTGGCACACCATGTGAGAAATTCATAGGACTTCATTCTAAAATAACAGCCATTTTGTTGTATATTACAATTATACTTAGGATTCACTGGACAGCTGCTAAGGAGAAAAGTAAGGTGATGTTGCTGCCACTGTGACTGTAAAATCCACAGAGCATAGATGGGAGGGGGGGCTGGGTCCAATTGCTGACTGTGTATAGGGTTGCCAGGTGTCGTGACTGTAAAATCCACAGAGCAATGCACTGCACTGCACTGCACTGCAGAGCTAATACCTTGGCAACATTGTGTCTCAAGATTATTCAACGTCATTTACGAAATAAGAGTACATTGGTTGATGGGGCCATACATCTCTGCCAGAAATAGTCTTTAAAGGTAGCTTAGGGTTTCTGAAACACAACTGAAGTACTTTCTGAATTTATTTTTACCAGACAGGAGCTGAAAATACCAGACTGTCTGAGTCAGATAAGCTGTGTTCTCTCTAACATTTCCCATCCTTGGGTAGATTGAATTTTCTTATGCGCACCACCAGTACAAACAAAAAAAGCTACATAGGAGCAATGCTTATGATGTTTATTTAATATCAAATAAAAGAAAATTAACATTATCTTGGAACTATATGTATTTTGTCATCCTAACAACTCAAGCTAGTAAACATTTCTCCCATTTTGTCTAGTCTAAGCTTTAAGGAGGGAGTTTAATTTAATTTCACTGGTATCAATGGCTGCCTTTTGTAGCTA